TCAGTGAGTAGATACGTGGCATTATAACGAGGCCGTTCTGTTTTAACCAGATGACTTTTGATGATTATCTACCCTCTTACCACCAGCAGGCGTGCACCCCTATCCTTTATCCTCAATATTGTAACCCACCTTCCTACGTCCATCCACATCGACATACATATACATAAGTAAGTAACTTGAGCACGTGCCGTACATTACCACATGTGACGGAATACATGTCAACTTGCAGCAACTCAGTAGTGGTTTGCACTTCATTAATGCACTGGATGACCCCCTATCCTCGCATTTAACATCCCAAATTACGTAATTGATGTGCGATCATTTCATGTGATATAATACAGCCATCCATGGAGTTAATAAATATTTATTTTAGCGAATACACAAAATTTCTAAACAAATTTCATCAAGATAAAAATTTAAAATAAGCATTTAAAATAAAATAATTACAATTGTCATAACCGGTGATGTACTGAGCCATAAAACCCAGCAGGAGGACTCTTAAAAAAAATGGCCGTCTGTTAGCGAGTAATTTAACGGTCAATCCAGGTCTACGTTACTTGGAAATAGAAAATAAGGGCAGGCTCACGAAGTTGACCGTAGAGTAAAGTAACTCTACTCGGTGCTCACCCATATAATCACAATTCACGTAGTATCATCAAGGTGAAACGTGTTCCGCAATGTCCAGCTAGTTGTTGTCATCAGAAGCAGGAAGCCATACTCCAAAATGACCTGTGCATGCGCCCTCTATTAAACAAGTCAACAAACAATCTAAAACGAGTGTAACAAACAGAGAAACAAGCAAGCAAAGCTAACCTCCCACATCCCGCATCAGCATCAGTTAGCAGAAGCGAGTGGCGAATGGCAGTATAGTAGCCGGTAACGAGGGCGCCATCTTTGGCCTTCGTACCAACTGGAATCGTTAATTCTCACGGGATTCCGAGCGAACTCGGCTGACAATACGTAGAACGCAGGTGGACGTAAGATTTAAGATAAAGGAGTAAGAGTATTGAGAAAAGAGCCACGACCTCTTGGCGGTTCGTGGTCTCAAGATGTGACTCCAAACGAGGAACAAACAGGAGCAAACCTTAACTGGAATACTCTGACCCTACACTTACTCTCTTTCTATCTTTGTTAACTCTCTTTGCCATTTGTTTCTTATATTAGCTTACTCCTTGTTCTTCTTCCTCTTCTTCTTCTTCTTCTTGATTGTCTCTTTCTCATTCCTGTTCTTGTTCTTATTTCTGCTCTTGCAACACGTGCTATTGCCGCACTCAGATATTCTTCTACTTAAACTTGAGCTGAAGGAAGAAAACAAAGAGGAGGATGGAAAACGGAATGAGCGGAAGGTTTCGTCGTTGGAGTCAATGTTTAAGTCTCGGATCGTGGCATACGAGACGAGACATTCGAGAGACGAGATACTGAGCTTCTTGGAAGTAAATGGGTATATAGACCTTATAGACCAAGCCAGAAGACAACAGAAAAGGAGCTGGTGGTGAGGCAAGAAGGAATTGCTGTGTGGAGTCGGATGGAAAGGAAAATAAAGGAAACCAACCAGTAAGTTGAATAAAAAAATGAAAATAGAGATAAAGAAGAAGTGGGCGCACACGGAGCGCGGCTCGTTCTACACGCCCGGGAACATGGAGAATAATTTGTGGATCGAGACACGAGCGCGGTGTGCCACGAGATTAGAACGTTTACGAGACACGCGGGCTCAAGTACAAGTCCTCGATACTCAATTCGCTCTTTCTTTGTCTTTCTTATAGTCTAGCTTTTCACTTGTTCAAGTTCGAGTTCTTTCTGTCCACTTGTTTACTTAACGGATTTGTTTATCGATTGATTTTTTTAGGGTATTTAAATCGAGTCAATTAAAATTAGTTTTATTGATTGCCGCGTTTTGTGGAACGATGCATTTTTGAGCTTCGGAGATTTGAGAAAGAAGATTAATGAAATATTACTTAGTAATTGGAAAAAATTTATTTTATTTTAGTTTAAAATTTAGTATTCAAGTTATTTTTTTTTTATATTTTTAAGGAAAATATATTTTTAAAGACAATTTTCATAAAAGTTTTTTAAATAAGTATTAAATGCACATAAATAGTTTTTAATCCTTCATTTTTGAAAATTTATAATAGTCAAATCATAATTTCTGGCGTGGAGATAAATATTATAGATACATGTCGAAATATAATTTAATAACATACATACTGTGAAAAGAAATTTTAGAAAACTTTTCAGTAATTTATTTTTTAAATGAACTATAAAAAAAATCAGAAGTTTGCTGATTTCAGTATTAAGAAAGTTTTTCATCCAATGCCGACCCAAAATTTTGTAAAAGTTCATCAGTCATTTAATAAATAAAAAAAATTAGTATATTTTAACTTATTGATAATATTTTATTTAGAAAAACATATTTTTTTTATTTTCTATCTCGAACACCGATAAAAACATAAACTTGATTCAAAAGTAGAAAAACAATTGAACTGAAATATTTTTATTAGTTTAAATAAATTTTACTTGATCCAAGGATTTTTTGTCTTGATTAAAGACAAATCAAACTCTTCAGATTAATTTTCTTGGTATGAAAATTTTTCTTTTAAATCAAATTAGTTTTATTTATTAATTTTTAACTTCCCGCTAAGAAGATCGAAGATTTTAGAAAATTGGGAAGTTATTAGTTTCTACCCATTTTGCAAAAATCGAGTTTTTATCTGATCTCGACGCTGTCAGATCACAGCAAGCTTCCCAGACTACTCCCGTGGTGTTGTCACTAAGTCTGTATGTATATGTGTGTGTTTATTTTTTTTTTTTAGGTAGTGATAATGATGATGATGATGATGATGATGATGATGATGATGGTGGTGGTGATGAAGGTGATGGTGATGATGATGATGATGATGATGATGGTGATGATGATGATGATGATGATGATGATGATGATGATGATGATGATGATGATGATGATGATGATGATTTGAAATTTTTCAATTCTCTTACGGGACGTTAGAAATTAATAAGTTCGTCTATCAGATTGTAGCATAACAAAATTTTTCGAGTTTTATGTAGAAAACTATAGCACTGTACTAAATTGTACAAAAGAATCTCGTAAATTATGCATTTGATCTACAAAACATTTTTAATAAGTACACAGAATAATCGCAGTTGAATATTTGTCTATTCTATAGCACTTTCTAATAATAATGAGCATTTCTCCGATCAACAAATTAAATATCAAGATGATAGATTGTCATAACACCTGCAGCGCCTGAAGAAATAAGATCGCTAACTTAAACTTTTTATTAATAAATACTTATAAAATTTTTATTGAAGCTTATCTCTCCTTTTGTTTTCAGCTCTGTAAGATGCAGAGCGTATAAAGTAGTTAGATAGTTTTAACCAGAAGGCATCAGAGAGAACATTTTTTTTTATCCCCGAATGAAATGAAAGAGAGGCAACCTCGCCCATGTCCGCGACAGCACGTTAAGCCAGGTACTCCGCCTTCACATAGATATCATCAGTTTTACCATCCAACGATGATAATAACAATAACAATAACGAATGCAAGAAGCCAGTTATACGTTCAACATCTTAAAACCCAACTGGATTAACCTATCTCTTTTGCGTTATATCTTCTGGAAGTCGAAAATAAACCACCGGATGAATGAGAAATATATTATCCCTCGATCCACTTGCTTTATCTTACTCACGAGACGTCTTTTGGGGTTCATAAACTTGATCAAAACAGTAGTAGTTCTTGGTGTATCCGTAGCAAAAAGAGACCAATCGATTGAGATAGCAGCAGGAAGTTGAACTCAATTTATGACACAGTCATGATCATGAGGTTGGGCACGTGTGGGTCGTCGTTTGTGTTTTAGTATGTGAAGACACAGTAGTCGATAAAATAAATATAAAGTAACGAGTATAATAACCCTACAGATATATCGCTGCTTTTATCGCTTTTTTATCTAGCGAAGTATTCATTCATTCATTGATCACTTTTTTTCAGGACATTGTTCGCTAAGACGTGGGCGTTACACAACTATATGCCGAAATATTTTTGTTGAAAGTAAATTTTTATTATTTCCTCATTTATTTTTATTTTAGCACATAGTTCAGATGACAGTAGATATTTTAATGAGTAATTTAGAAAACTTTATTGAGCGATTATTCATTTAAAATTCGAAGAGATACAATCTTTAACTTACAACGCGGTAAGAAAATTAAAGAATTTTTACGATTTTTCTATCGTAATTTTTATTGAATAGAATAGTAACGATAGACTACACTCTTTATTTAATAATTTCGACGATCTAGTACCGTAAATTTTATTCAACAAATAATACTAGCAAGAAACTTAAAAAGACCAATACTAAAGAGCAAATTTTATAAGACATGTAAGTGAACGATCGTAAAAATGGAGTCAGTTTTTTTTTTCAAATTCTAGGAAAAAAGAGGGATGGAGGTTGGACGTATTGGTAACTTTGCTGTAACCGAAAAAATAAATCGGTATATCTGACCAGGAATCGAACCCAGAACGTTTGGCCGATAGCCAGAGACTCTCTCGCTATACTATCCGAGGTAAAAAACTATAAATTTCCTTTAGCATTTACAAAAACTCGAACTCTAGCGCTCTGCATGGCCAGCATTCACCCGAATTGAGAAATTTTCTAATTCAACTATCATAAAATTATTTACTTGTATTGAAAAAAGACAGAGACAGAACTGAAAATTTTAAAAATGAATACAAGAATATATATTTTTACATCTTATTTTTTATTCTTTCAATATTTACAATAGTTATATCGTATTTTTTCTAATCGAATTTCTTACAATAATCTTTTAATTAAATTACGAAAGTAAATTGTAAAAAACATTTCTCAAACAGTAGATTTTCTTTTAAAGCATTTAAAAGTTGCTGACAATGAAAGTACAGGTCGATAGTAAAAATCAAATCGTATTTTTGCAATATTATCAACGTTTAATCAGTCCATGCTTAGGCGGAATTAATTTCTTCAACTCAACATTAGTAAAATAATACCACAATTCCCAAACGAAATTATATGGCAGTCCCGCATCACACAAAATTTCCCCCACAAGATTTTCTACAATTTTCAAGTATCTAATTCTGCGGTTAACCTTGAATAATTTATAAAAAATCATTCCTCCGTACAGCGGATACTCACTCTGCAATTTTTGCGGGTCAATAACTTGATTTACGCACGCAAACTTTAGTCGGATCGCCAAGTAATGAACACTCATCAATAAAACGTCCGAAAATTTCATGTTACTTGACCCAACTTTATCAATTTTCATTTTCCGAAACTCTTTGTCACACAAATCCCGAATATCCGTGAAGTCTTCTACCAAAGCTCGACGATTTTTCTCACTTACTGTCAACCCAACTGTTATTAGCTTCACAATGTGCTGTTTAATCAATACAGTATCGTCATTTGGAAAACCTCGATTGACATCGTACTCAATCATAAGTTTTCCATTGGAATCTTCTGCGTTTATGTCGATGCCAGCATCAAGAAGAAGTCGGCAAATCGGATCGCTTGAACTACAATATGACCGTTGATAATGGAGTAAAGTCCGATTCATCTCAAGTCGAATATTAACATCAGTCATTGGTTCGTCTAAACTCAAGAGGTATTCTAAAATTTCAGTGTGCATGGAAGTAATTACTACGCATAACAATATCGACTGATCATTGAAAAAGCCAGTGAAGTTAACATCAACCCCGTGGTTGATTAAATCTATAGCGGTTCCATAACTTCTACTCCAAATAGCAAGTTTTAGCGCGAATTCACCCGTTTTTAGATTACTATCAAAATCTGGATGATTATCCAACAGCAACTTCGATACTCTCTCATTAAATTGTGTCCTACAAGCATAATGCAATGGACGGAAGCCATTTATTGAGTTTTCTGCGTTAATATTTGCACCGTATTTAATCAAACATTCAGTTATTTCATACTTTCTTGTATACACAGCCTCCATTAGTGGTGAAAAACCAGTTAATGGATGCGTTAAATTAGCATCAGTACCCAGCTGACACAATCTCTCCCATGATTCAATATCGTACCTTTCGATTGCTAACCGTAAAGCAGTCCTACCTGAAATGTTTAAATTGATATTGGCGTTCTGAGATACCAAAAAGTCTATCAGTTTTAGGTCTCTATTTAATACTGCAGCGCACAGAAAGGTTGTTGGAATAAGAGGAGTTTCTTCAAGGTAGATGAGTGAATTGACCTCATACAATTTATTATCTAAGAAGTGTTTAACTGAGTTCACATGGATCCCTCGTAAGACAAATTTTTGAAAGACGCTCATTTTTTGTTGAGAGATTTTTGCACCTGTAAAAAAAAGTTGATTTAGTTTCTTTGTGTTTTTAATCGATTAATTCATTAAAACTACTTTAGTAATATTGGTATTTGATAAATTTTTTAACCTGAGTACTTGACATAGTTTTTTATAGAAAATTGAACAATTTCCACTGATTGAAGATTTTATTGGAGGGTAATAAATTAATTATTTAAAAATTTTATTAAATAGATTTTCTGGGAATAAAAATCGTTTTTTAACATTTAAAAATATTTTTTGATAAAATAAGTTATTAGAAGCGTAAAATAGAAGTGTTAATGAAAACATGATCATCAACTATTAAAAATTCTTCTATCATATTAAGAAAGGATTTATTAAATAATGAGAAATCATTTCTTGAATAGGAAATAACGTTCGTTCGATTCAAAAAAATGTTTAAAAAATGATTTCTAAACTATTGAAAAATTCTAAATTTTTGTTCATATATCAATTGTACATCAATTAATTAAACTCGAAGTTATAAGGATATTATTGTAGTTAATATTTATTTTAATCTCGGTAAACATTTTTTCAGCTTATCAACTTGGATGAAGAGAACCATTAAAAATAAAATAAATATCATGAAAGTATGTGTTACATAAAATAAATGATGTATAGTGAATGAAAAAACAAATTCGGAGAATGTAAGTTACAAGCATAGTTGATTATTAGATTACTACGCAAGTAGTGTGGTAGAAAATGGTGTTGAGTTGATGACACCTTAGGTCAAAAGCTGCTGTGGCATATAGGATAATTTCGTATAATAAGTTAGATAAATCACCTGAGCCAGAATAAACAGTAATTTTGTCACGATGTTTCGCTTTTATATTGAATGTATTAATTTATTGTAAATGTTATTGTACTGTTTGTAATATAATAAAAAAGCTGTGCGAGGACGCAAACGTATGTTGTCTTAATAATTATATATTGTTATGGCTATAATATTTAGTTAATCGAAGTACATATATTAATGTTTTAACTCTATTCAATTAATCAAATAATTAATTTACAATTCTAGTTAAATTAATTTATAGTATTATAATTAATGTACCAGTCAAAAGATCATTCTGGTTTGCAACTTTTAAGAAGCTTATTTTTTTTTAACATCTTTCGAAAGAACAAATATTAAAATTTCTAATTGATCGGACCACTGTAGCTATATTGCTTTACGATTTTTATGTGCATGTTCAAGGGGAAGAAAATCGAATTTTTAAAAAGACTATCTGTGTAAAAAAAAATCTTTCAATTTGTAAAATATGATTTTTGTTAATTTATATAATTGCACGCCTCATAGCGCGAAGCGCGTGAGGTTGTGCTTTATACTCGACTTGTTACCCGTGTAAAAAAAAAATCGTTTTAAAATTGTCGTTCGTTTAAGATCTTAAATGTGACACAAATTAAGACTATTTTAAGATTCTTTTAAGATGCTAAAAAAAAAAATTCCGAGATTTTTTAATAATTATTTTGATTTTTTTAAGACTATTTTACGATTTTTTCAAGACGATTTTAAGATGTTTTTAAGACTATTTTAAGATTTAAGTTTTAAAATAATTTTTATATAGTCTTGAAAAATCTTATAATAGTCTTAAAGAAATCTGAAAAAAAAATGTTAAAAAATTTTTAGGCTATTTTCAGATGACATCACAGTGACAGCTCCGGAAAGTTATTATGGAGCGTCTTTAAATTGTCTTAAATTAGTCTTAAAAAAATCTTAACAAAAAATTTAGACTATTTTAAGATGGGTTAACAGCGACAGAGCCCCGGAACATTAAAACGGAACGTCTTAAAAAAGTCTTAAAATTGTCAGATAATAATTTTTTAACAATTTTAAATTCAATTTAAAAACATCTTACTCAAAAATATTGCGGTTAGAAAATCGTAAAATCATCTAAAAATTAATTTTCACAACAAATTCGAGAACAAAATTTTCAAAAATCTGCTCTCGGAATTTTTCTTTTGGCGTCTTAAAAGAGTCTTAAAATAGTCTTAGTTTGTGTCACGTTTAAGATCTTAAACGAACGACAATTTTAAGACAATTTTAAGACGATTTTTTTTACACGGGTAAAAATATGTGTAATGCTGACATTGCTGGTATGTTTCAACCAATTGGCCAGGTGTACGATGGTGCTGCTCTCATTTTTCATACTTTTTCTGTGTTAAATCAAATGGAGTAATTTAGTTCCTGTGGTCGCCATTAGCGTAAAATCATGCTCTTCTCATAAGATTTACACGTAAAAGTGGTAGTCAGCGCCAGCCCTCCCCACCATATACTTCGCACCCTGCCAATAGACCGGGATCACAAGATTATACTATTTAAGGGTACGTTGAAATTGAAATAAATTGGATATCTGAATTAGGTTAATTTACACGTGAGGTTGTATTCACAAATTATTAAACACACAAAAATTATAAATATAATATAAATTACTACCTTAATTGTTGGTTCAATAGATAATTAGAATTTCACTATTTTATAATTAGATTAATTATTAAATTTATTGAATTAAAACTTAGTTGGTTTATTACACTTGTTAATAATTAGAATTGAAATTGAACATAAAAACTTTCATTTGAAATTATGCGTGACGATCACTAAGACTGATTTCACACACGAGAGAGCGAGTTCATGCGAAAACAGCCCTCTTATGAAATTTAGGGTGGACCCACCTTGAAAATTGCTGGGGAAAACTCTGTCCAATTAGGGCCAGTTTTCCGGGGTATTACCATTTCCCTTTCTCTCATGAAAATTGTTAGGGGAACTGTTGTCTCTATGTTAACGTGGGCCTCACACCCCTCTATTTTACATGCGTTCGGAAATATAAAATATTCTCGACCACGTGTATTCGCACTTACACGTGTTCAAGTATAATAATAATAATTTTACTTATTTTAGATTCTGTTGTAAGTAAAAAAAAATTGCAAAAAATATTTTAGCCAATCTTTATTTTTACAATTTTTTCTTTCAATATTAGAAAATGTAATTTACAAATAACTTAACTAAAAAATCTTACTTACCGGGTCGTTTAGCTGTTTATTTGATTGACGACTTATATCTGGTAAATATTATATTACATTACTTAAACAGACACGTGTTCTAAAATGCAACCTGATGGTAGAACGACAACTGAACTACTAGAATGAAAATGTCTCCGAAATAGCTATTTTAGGCTCTTATTCCCCTTTACCTGAGACGAAACTGAAATTCTTAAATACTGTAACTATGAGATTAAAAATCACAGAAATTCGGAACAAAAAATTCCACTTTGACCGCCTCTTTTGTTGTATAAAGAGGGAAATAGTCCTTCCTTAATTAGGATAAAAGAAAAGGGGAATTTTTAGCACGCTAATTATAAAGACATTAGAAACATCTTAAATAGAAATGAATAGACTTATAGAAAAACTTATTTTAAGAAATAAAGTAAAAAAAAAACTTAATGGGCTATTACTCAGTAAAAGTTATTTTTCTAAAATTGAAGACGAAAAACATTAATATTTCAAAATTAAGGAAAAAGAGGGATGAAGGTTAAACTTATTGGTAACTTTGCTGTGATTAAAGAAACAAATCGGCATTTTCAATCCGGAATTGAACCCAGAACAATTAGTCGGTAGCCAGAGAACGTGCCGCTATGTTATCCGAGGTAAACAGCTACAGACTTTCTTCATCACCCGAATTGAGAAATCTTCCAATTTAACTATCTTAAAATTATTTATTTGTATTGGAAAGATACAGAGGCAGAACTGCAAATTTTAAAAATGAATACATGAATATATATTTTTAAATCTTATTTTTTATTTTCTCACTATATTAATATAAAGAAACACATTTCTATATACCATAAAAATAGTAAAAGTCTTATATACAATGCTTTATTTAATATAAATTTACACAGAAATTACAATTAATCATATTTATAACTAAAACAGATATGCTGCTTTAATATCTAAACTGGCCTACTTCATAAATTCTCCACCAGATACTTTTAGCAAAATGGCACATTTTAATGAAACGTTTAAGTGTTCGACTCAACCTTTAAAATGATTTAATCGATTATAACTATTAAAATATATATACTTACAATTTTTAATTTTTCTTTACTTTCCTCATATTTTTCATTATATTTTACAATTCTGTTATACAACTATTTATATTAATTGGGCAACTGACAATTTCGAATTAATTTAACGAAATACATTTTGAGTCATTTTTACGAAGTATTTTTTAATTTCATTGTTTTAGTTTTATATTTTTTTTTATTGATATCACTTCACGAGTCATTTTTTTATTTGATTAAGATATAAAAAATTTCCATGCAGAATTTAACGTCAAATTCGAAAGACTAGAACGGAAAGTAAATTAGTATTTTACATTTTGTGTATTTCAGTGTTTTCTATCTTAACTAATACTTGATAAATCAATAAATTAAAATTACTACCAACGGTTTATTTTCTTGGATAATAGTACTTAATTTGACGAAGAATCCAATTAATACGAACTGGGTTGACTTAACTAAGAATACTTTAGGCAACTGCTTGGCCGAGCGGTTTAAGTCTTAAACTGCCGCACAGCAGTCGCTCAGGCGTGGGTTCGAGCCCTGGCAATTGCAATTTTTCTTCTTCTTCTTCTGCGATTTCCGGGGCTTGCTCTCTTGCCGACTGTACCTTAACCAGGTTTCTGTGGTTTTTCCTCGGTCATTGTGCCCCTAAAATAAGCGGGGCACAGGCAAATGCGGGTACAGACTGTAAGCTGGCCACAGCCGCAAAAACGGAGGGTCCTGTTACAGTACTATATAGGAGGAATAGCTACAGGAGGAAATAGCTACAGGAGTAGCTTGGAGGGGGCCTGGTACTGCGAAGTAATGCTAACGCGGTCCCGCAGTATCAGGTACAAGAGAGGGGAGGGTTTTAGTGAGTAAGAATCTCACACTACCGGCAACCAACATCTCCAACATCTAGCCGGTGTCTTATGAAGATTTCCCTCCTCTCGCCCAAAAAAAAAAAAAAAAAAAAAAAAAACTAAGAAAACTTTTCATTCAATATTCTAATTTTATTTACATATTCATACTGCATCCTTTTATTGATAGCGATGGTACCGTCCCCGATAGGTCTGAAGAACTATTGGTAGGAGAAAGAGGACTTACGTTTTCAGGATTAATATGCACTAATGATCCACTCGAACTTTTTATCATTCCACCTATATGTTGACGGTTTAACTGCGCCTGCAGATGATTCAGTGGATGAGAGTATCCTTGAAAATTTGAATGTGATGATTGTGGGTGTGAAATACCGGCGCTTACTCCATGAATGTCTTTGATATCTACACTGTCAAGACTACTATCAATAACACTTAAAGGAGAAAGATTACTTAACTTTCTAAAGTTTGTATTTCTACTAATTATTTTTGATCGACTTCCAGAACCTTTTGACGATTTTGATGCTGAAACCTATCCATGACCATTTTTTCGTCTGGTATTTTTTGTATTCGGTAACCTATTGTCTTTTTTAAATTTCATTCTTCTATTGCGGAACCTAATTTTAATCTGACATTCAGATAAAACTAAAGAATGAACAATTTCGATCCTTCGTCGCCTTGATAAATATTTATTGACATGAAACTCTTTTTCAAGCTCTAAAATTTGATGCCTCGTGTATGCTGTTCTTTGTTGTTTTATTTCCATTCCAGGTTGATCAGTTCCGTTAGCTAAGGCAAAAAAACAAAATTTTCGAATTAACATACTATTCAATATTTTCATTATATTGAACACAGAAAAATTTGGAAAACGGTTGATCCTAAAGGCCATCTCGGCAACTTTCTGCTAATTCCATATTTAAGTGCTCAAAATTGCACTTTTTACGTTTTTGAGCTCTTCGAGCTCAAAAATATAATTTTCGTATCATTTTGAGCTCTCCGGGCTTAAAAGTCTGATAAAGGTTGGAGTAAAACACTATTTTTTGAATTTTCAAACCGCAATAATTTTTGAATGAATGGCCTTTAGGGTCAACCGTTTTCCAGATTTTTTTTTAATTCTTACCGTGTAGATTTTAGCTATGGATAAGATATCAATTACTGATGGATCAACCGTAGGTCAATGGTAAAAATCGAAAAGTCTTTTTGCAATATTATCAACAATTAATAAATCCATGTTTAGGCGGGATTAATTTCTTCAATTCAAAATTAGTAAAATAATACCACAATTCCCGAACGAAATTATATGGCAGTCCCGCATCACACAAAATTTCCCCCACAAGATTTTCTACAATTTCCAAGTATCCAATCCTGCGATTAACCTTAGACAATTTGTAAAAAATCATCCCTCCGTACAGCGGATATTCACTCTGCAATTTTTGCTTGACAATAACTTGATCCACGCACATAAATTTCAGTCGGATCGCCAAGTAACGAACACTCATCGATAAAACGTCCGAAAATTTGATATGACTTGACCCAACTTTATCGATTTTCATTTTTTGAAACTCTTTATCACACAAATCCCGAATATCCTCGAAGTCTCCCGCCAAAGCTTCTCGATTTTTTTCACTTACTGTCAACCCAGCTGTTATTAGCTTCACAATGTGCTGTTTAATAAATACAATATCGTATCTTTGAAAACTACGAGGCCTATCGTACTCAATCATAAGTTTTCCATTGGAATCTTCAACGTTTATGTCGATGCCAGCATCAAGAAGAAGTTGGCAAATCTGATTACCTGGAATATAACGTGACCGTGGGAAATGGAGTAAAGTCCGATTCATCTCAAATCGAACATTAACATCAGTCATTGGTTCGTCTAAACTCAAGAGATATTCTGAAATTTTATCATCCACGGTATAATTTACTGTGTAAAACAATATCGACTGATCACTACAATGGCCAGTGTAGTTAACATTAGCCCCTTGATTGATTAATTCCATAAAGGTTGCATGACTTCTATTGAGAGCGGCGAATTTTAGCTTGAGTTCACCTGTTGTTAGATTACTATTAATATTTGTTTGATTATCCAACAGCAATTTTGCTATTCGCTTATTATCTTCTGACATACAAGCATAATGCAATGGACGCAAGCCATTTTCTGAGTTTTCTGCGTTGATATTTGCACCGTATTCAATCAAACATTTACAAATTTCATACTTTCTTGTATACACAGCCTCCATTAGTGGTGAGAAACCAGTTAATGGATGCGTTAAATTAACATCAGCACCTAGCTGACACAATCTTCTGCATATTTCAATATCGTCCACTTCGATTGCTAACCGTAAAGCAGTTTTATCCGAAATGTTTAAATTAATATTAGCTTTCTGAGATACCAAAAAATCTATCAGTTTTAGGTCTCTTTTTAACACTGCAGCGCACAGAAAGGTTGTTGGAGTAAAAGGAGATTCTTTAAGATAGATGAGTGAATCGACCTTGTATAAATCATAATATAATAAGTGTTTAATTGAGGTCATATTTAACCTTCTCAAGTCAAATTGTGGAGAGTTGCTTATTTCCTGTTGCGACATTTTTGCACCTGTAAAAAAATGTTGATTTAATTCATTATTATTGTTAATCGATGAATATATTAGAACTAATTTAGTAATATTGATATTTGATGTTTCTTAACCTAATTAATTCACTGAAAAAAAAAATTTTTTCCACCCAAAATACAAAACATTTTTATCCAATTTTTTTATAACTAATATACATTTCTCAATATAATAAAAAAAACTGGTATTTTTCGTCTGAGAATACCTAAGTTTTTTCCGAATTTAAAATTTTACGTTGCGTTACCATAACCACCGCAGCGGCAGCGCCACTACTTCTCTGATTTCCCTCCAACTTCACAGTCCTGGTGTGTTTGTTTACATAATTGAAAAGTTGTACTTATTTATTATTTATATTGAACCATTACATCGCTGTATTACAATTGATATTAAAATTTGGATGGTTCCTTGGGTAGGAAAAAGTTGCTTGAATGGGATTTACCATCTTTGCAAAAAATCGTTGAAAATAATTGTTTTTTTTTTAATTAATTAATTAATCTTTTTAAGAGTTGTTCATTATACAAATTAAATTCAATGAAATAAAAATAGATATCAAGCCGTCAAAAGTAATTAAAAATTCGATTTTTCAAAAATTTGTAACAATACTTTTCCCCGTAGTAAAAATATAAACCGGAGGCGGAGTTACCGGCCGAGTAGAATAAAGTACATTTGCCCTGACAATAGATGAATTGGCCGATGACACCCAGGCTGGTCTAGAAATCTCGTTATACGCCAGGTAGTTTTCTCAAAATTACCAAAATTCTCTAAGGGTCGCGCCGAGCAATCAATTCATGAACTTTTTGCGTGAATAGAAAATAAAAATGAAAATATGAGTAAAGATAAATACTGAATATTAGAAAATACTATTAAATTCTCAAGGTAGATTATAATAGCGAGCACAAAAGACTTAGCAAAAGAAAATTAAATAAATTTAGAAAGCAAAAAGTAATTTATTATAATAAAGGCCCAAGAGATTTAAAAATGACCGAATTCTTCCGAGGGCTACGTAATTATTACTTATAAGTAAGTAATAACACCGGCACACAAAAAAAATTATGTAGAATGTGCATTTGACCAAACCTACCTACGGGTACGTATTTTGGTCCGCTGAATCCGAATTCGAGGTCAGTTTGACCCCTACACCCCCAAAATTTCGAGAAAACTTCGAAAAACCGTAAAAATGATGAAAATCGGCAGTTTTAACCCGTGTAAAAAAATCGTCTTAAAATTGTCTTAAAATTGTCGTTCGTTTAAGATCTTAAACGTGACACAAACTAAGACTATTTTAAGATTCTTTTAAGATGCCAAAAAAAAAAATTCCGAGATTTTTTAATAATTATTTTGATTTTTTTAAGACTATTTTAAGATTTGAGTTTTAAAATAATTTTTAAATAGTCTTGAAAAATCTTAAAATAGTCTTAAAGAAATCTGAAAAAAAAAAATATTAAAAAATTGCAGAAATCTATCTATTGCATTGTCGAAATTCACACGGAATTTTGTCATTTTATATCTTATTTAGTCGAGTAAGGCTCAAAATTAGCATTGGTTCAAAAGTTTATATATTTATGTATATATACGTGATATATAACGCGGCTTGTGGACACAATAACGACTAAAATTTTTAACGGATTTAGATGAAACTTGCTACACATATTTTTTGGATAATAACCTTGAATGAGTTGATTTCTGCTCGATTTTCATGAATTAAAAATTATTTTTTAATTTTTTTTTATATAAATTTAATTCTTGAACGAATCGATTCAAATGATACTGCAGTTTAAGAATGAAAAAAAAATCTTTTTCTAAAACAATTATTAGATTTTTGAGCTTGAAGAACGCTTATGATATTTATTTATTTATTCATTTATTTTCCTGCACTGATAGAAAATTTATGTTGACTCAAGAGATATTTTCTTGATCTAAGAATTTATTTTGGAAGACAAATGATTATTTTGCTTTAAGAATTTCTTGTCTTGATTTAGATTTTCTTGGCTTAAGAGCTATATTATCTTCAATCGATACATTGAAGTTTTTCAATTAAAATAACATTATTGTTTAAAAAACTTTAAATAATTTATCAAAGTACAATTCAAAAACTAAATAGTCTTTAATTGTTATACCAAAAAAAAATTATTTCTTAGAAA